TTTTACTTCATTGTTTTCCACATTCTCATTTACAAAGTGGTACTTTTTCTTAATATGTTTTGACTTGCACTGATACATTGGTTGTTTAGAAATGGCTACTGTTGCTTGATTATCACAATAAATTATTGTGGTTGCATGATCAAACTTGACTAGTGGCATTTCACTAAGAAAGTGCCCTAAGAGTATCACTTATCTTGAAGCGTGATATAAAGTAATATAGTCAGCTTCCATAATGGAATGTGAGATATATTTGTGTTTTTTACTTCCCCAAGATATACATGTCTCACCAAATGTAAACAGTCATTCTGATGTGGATCTATAATCATCAATGTCTCCTCTTAGATTTGCATCACAATAGCCTTCTAGAATTAGATCCTTAATCCCATAACATAAACCATGTTATGTGTCCTCTTTAGATATCTAAATATCATCTTTGTGAATTTGCTATGTTTAATTTTAGGGTTAGCCACATATCTACTAGCAATCCCCACTACATATGTTATATCGGGTTTAACACAATTCATCAAATAGTTAAGAGAACCAACAACGTGTGCATAAGGGTATTTCTTCATAATTTCCCTGTTTTTGTCGCTTTTAGGACACATTTCCTTAGATACTTTACAATTTTTGTCAATCAAGGTGGCCACATGTTTAGAGTCCACCATATTAAATTTCTTTAATATCTTTTTAACATACTGATCTTGATCGAGAACTAGCAATCTTTTATTTTTACATCTTGTCACTTACTTAAGATATTATCAACTTGTCACCTGTTTTTCATCTCGAATTTGGAGGATAACCACTCTTTAAAATCATGAATGACTTTTGCATCAATCCCAGTTAAAATTATATCATCCATATACATGATCAAAATCAAATGTATATCCCCATTGTATTGGGTATATACACGGTAATCAATAGTAAGATGATTGATCCCATATTCTCTAAGAGCTTGACTAAACATTAAATATCACTACCTCGCGGCCTACTTTAAACCTGATTTATTTAATCTGCATACTTTATCTTCTTGACCTTGAGATTTAAAACCTTCAGGTTGAGTCATGTAGATCTTCTTATCTAGTTCAACATTTAAAAATACAGATTTTACATCCATTTGATAAACCTCAAAACCATAATGATTACATATTACTAATATTACTCTTATTGAAGATTTACTTGCTACAGGTGCAATGGTTTCTTGGAAATCAATTGTATCCTTTTGGCTAAACCCTTAGCCACTAACCCAGCTTTCTATTTTTTAATATTACCATCGGAGTTCATTTTACGTCTATTTAAAACCAATATCAATTTTTGAAAGTCTTCAAAGAAGTGGGATTCTCTATTCTCTAAAAAAAAATTTGTTTCCTCGTTATATATCGCTTGGAATCAACCAAATACCCAACAAATATACGTTTTACACTTTTAGGTCTCAATTTCTCTACTTTTATGAGGAATATGAACACGCACTAAAGAGTCTCATACAATTAACCATATTATTCCAAGCTATTTTGTTGAGGAGTATATGATCAAGACTTTGCCTAATTATCCCGTTTTCAATACAAAATTGATTAAATTCATATGATATATACCATTCTCCTCTCTCACTTCTAAGAATTTTAATTTTCTTATTTAATTGATTTTCAACTTCTGCTTTATATTTCTCGAATTTGTCAGATGCTTCATTTTTATCGGTTATTTAGTAAGTAAAAATATCTAGAATAAAAATCTATTAAAGTGATAAAATATTTACATCTACCATGAATTTTATATTTTACTTACCAAATATCAATATGGATAATTTCAAGTAAGTTTTGAGCCTTTTTACCCTTAGGAAATGATTCCTATGCATTTTTCCTTTTAAGCAACTTTGACATTTAAATTTTTTTTTCTAAATAACAGAGTATACTTTCTTTCATTAATCTATTTAGTTTTTCATAACCAATGTGACCAAGCCTTCTATGCCAACTATTGAAGCACTCATCATAAGCAAATGGCCTCTTCATTTTATGATCAAGATAAACCTTGTACGTATTGCCAACCATGGTGGCTTTTACCAAAAAAAACTTCTTTTCTAATAATTGTTTTCTCGTCTTTTATATCACCTCCACTTCTGTTATGCTTAGAGAGAGAACGGAAGTTCCTCCTCATATATGTGGCATACAATACATCAGCAAGAGTCAAGATGCCACCAGTTGGAAGCGGAAGTTTAATGATGTTATCTCCAATAATGTTGATACTAGATAAGTTGGTTATGTAAAATTTTTCACCACCGTCACTTTCTTCTTTAAAGTCTATCATATTTTTCCCAGAGAGTAGAATCAACAACTCGAAGTGATATCGCGAGAAGTGAAAAAAAAAAAATTTGCAAACTCATTGTTGAAAAGAAGTTACTAGAAAGATTTGGAGAAGTTAATTACTCTATTCTTATGCGTATATCATGTTTCGTTGCAGGTCCTTTTGTTGATGATAAACCAACATGCTTTGAAGATGCAAAGGGTAATGCAGAATGGGAAAACACTACGAAAGAAAAGACTGAAGCTCTTAACAGAAATGAAACATGGGACTTAGTTCCAAAGCTAAAAGGGGTGAAACCCATTTCTGGTAAATGGGTATTCAAGTAGGCATACGGATCCATTGATATCTATAAAGCCTAACTAGTAGTTGAGGGACAATTCTGTTATGATTTCACAATTCTGTTATGATTTCACAATTTTGGATTCTAATTTATTAGTTGAGGGACATAGAGATTTGCTCTCCATAGCAGATGATATGATCCTAACAAGGAACAATGAAGTTAAAGTAGCAATAGTACAATAGGAATTGAATATTTGATAAGAAATGAAGAACTTTTCTAAGTCCTTTCTTGGCTTGGAGGTGGAAATATATAATAAAGGTATATTTCTTTCTCAAAATCAATATGCAAGCAAGATAGTCACTGAGCTTGGAATGACTGGGAGTAAACCTATTTCAATTCCTATAGAACCAAATTTGAAGTTCAAGAGAGATGACGGCAAAGAGTTGGAAGATGTTAGTTTTTATCGAATGCTAGTAGGTAGTCTTTTTTACTTTACTATCACTAGACCAGATTTATGTTATGCAATTGGTGTTGCTAGTCAATTCTTGAAAACTTCTTGAAAGCCACATCTTGTGTAAAACAAATCTTGAAATATGAGAACTGAACTCATGAATTTAAGTTATTGTTTGAGCAAAATGGAAAGTTTCAACTTACTAATATTACCGATGAAGAATGAGGAAGCAATCTAGACAAACAAAAATTTACTTCTGGGTCTTCTTTTAATACCAGTTCGTCCCCAATTAGTTGGTTTAGTGAGAAGCAATCACGAGTAGATATTTCATCCACAGAAACCCAATATACGACAACTACTCTAGCTGTGTAAGAATGCTTATGGATAGAGAGGAGATATCTTCAAGGAAGACAAATATTTATTTCTTTGATTTTTTTATTATATGGGTAGTAGTACACATTTGATGAGAATAGGTTGTGTCGATTAGGTGTTAGTATATAGCAAATTCGCCAATATTCCTTTGGGCTCGTTGTTTTATATAACCATGTTATTATGGAAAAAAAAAGCGTGTGACATTTTTTTAGCCACAAAAACGAACCAGGACGTGGGTTCCCCATGTCAAGAAAAAGACGTCGTCAAACATAACACTGTTTTAACCACGCGCTCATGGCTCGCGTCAAAACCCATTTGCACCGTTCATTCTTTCTTTGTCTCTATGCAATCTCTCTATCTCCCTCTCTCTCATCCCAAAATTTTCAACATGTTTCGTTCCTAAAATTTTCAATGAAATTCCTCTCTTCTCATCTCAAGTTGTAACATCTTTTCTCCTGTTACTATTATTTAAAGGAGAAAAATTATATATAGTTGATGCCCTAAACAATCAATTTTAGGCGCACTTCAAATATTCTCTAGAAGAAATTGTTTCAATGCTGAAAAACTCTAAAATCTGATCATCCCAACCTTAAATTTGATATAGTTTCTCTCTCTAAAACTTTTAAAGTAGTTTGTTTCTCTCTAAAATTTGATATAGTTTCTTTCACTAAAATTTTGATAGAAGTTTTTACAAAGGGAAAATTTTTCTTATGTATTTGTCGCATACCAAATATGTGTAACATAATTTTCACATGAAAATATTTTGTACAAAAATATTTTCATACCTACCAAATGCATTCAAAATAGTGTAAAACCGTGTTATACAAATAGATAACCCAAACAAGGGATTTACATAACTTGCGTATTATCAAAAATCTATCCAAACAGTCATTTCTCAATAACCAGGGTTTTGCATAACCACGTTATGATCCAAAACATAGTTTTGTTTAGCCTAAGATCCAAACGAGCCCTTAGTCTCAAAGAAAAGGCCATGTAACTCGCTAGTGTGCTAGATTTGCTCTAGAAGTACTTATGGTCACACACACGCGCACAGATGTATACACACAAATGCATGCTATAAATTAGGTGTATAAATTTATAGTTAATCTCCTTGCACTCTTGGTTATTCTATTGGGTTTTTTAGTTTCTTGATTTTATAGCCCTTCCTTCTTTCTCTTCTTTTTTTTTTTTCTTCTTTTTTTCTTCTCTCTTTTTATTACAAAAATATGCGCCAAGATGAGCTAGGGGTGGACCACCAAACTCTAAGTGCCATGCCGCCAGACTAGGCATACTCGGGCCAGGCCTATAAGGGACAAGAGTAGGGCTATGACTATGGCCTGGCCATTGCATACCTTACAAATACTTAATCTAGTAAATGATTTATTATTACACATTTTTTTAAACCAAATGAATTTTATGTTGAAAATTACATTTAGAAGAAAAAAAATATCACCTCAAATATTAATTTTGGTAATTAACAAGCTTGACCAACAGAAAAATAAATAAAACTACATACAAATTTCAAATTTAGAACCACTGCATAAACTTATACAAACCAATGTCGTACAACTGCAACAAAGCCTTGAGGACAAGAGAAAATGTCAATTGAATTTCTAGCACTTCTTGGTATTGTAATTGTAAAGGCACCAAGGGCAAGTTTGGAAGAACAACTAAACACAAAACTATTTTTTGATTATGCTAGAGGTATGATCCTCTCCATTTTTAACCTATTTATTTGAGTAAAGAAAATCTGCAAAACATCTGAAGGTGCCCCCAAAAAAAAATTATAGATTCATAGAAAACATGAAGATACAAACTACATTCATCCACCTTGAACATGCAGCTTGCAAATGTAAACAAACATGAGAGCCAGAGTCCCAGATTTGCAAATTATGGACCAAGGAATCCCATACCTTCCCTTCCTCACAAGTCCCTTGAGAAAAGGACTAAAGCAAGCAACCACCCATGCACTACAAATAACTTCCAATAGCATATTGAAGTCACCCCTAGCTAACTTAGGGGCAACCATAACCAGGCTTGCAAGGTTCAAGAACAACAAAGTTGTGGGTGGTATAAACATTACATGTGAATTGAAGGTAAACTTGTTAGCATAAAGATCGTTGTCCCCTTCATCCTTGGGTGTCACAACAAAGACAATGTCCGACAGGCCAAGTAGCTTCAAAGTGACGTCGAAGAATCCAAAAAGCCATCCACTGGCGCAATTTATCCTAGACATCCGTTGGTTATTCCACCATTCCCTCGTCGAGAGGTTACATCGCCAATACTCCATCAACCCGAAGAAGTTGAACAGCAAGAAGAGTGAGATAGGAATCAGCACTATTGGCTCATGAAACTGTCATGAAAATATAGGTCATCATCTTCTTCTTGTTCTTTTTTTTGCTTCGTTAAGTTTTGCTTAGTTTTGATCTAGAAAACTGGGTTAAATAGTAGCAAAATATATGGCAATATGAATCTACAAAATAATAAAATAACTCTATAGGATGAGTAATGATCCTATGAGATCGTGTGCTACATTACACATGTAGGACATTGATCTCCACCATTAGTGACCTACCACTGATTGTGGGAATTATTGGTAACTTAACTTTACAAACAATGGCAGATTTTGACGAAGTTACAGTCATCTCCATTATATGTTTCGTGTACGACCTAGTCTAATCGGATTATTTAATGTGTACTGCCAGTTACCTATAACATGGAAGAAGGATAAAGTTCAGGCGCAAAATTTCCCTAGCAATTGCACATGGGTCAACAAGTTAAATGCATACATGACAGACATGGAAATTGTTTCGCAGTCTCACTTGAGATGTGGTTATGGAAAATAAGGTGTGTAAGCCTACGAATTTATCCAATATTTGACCAAAATCAGTAAAAGTTCTTTCTATTGCAAAAGGAGGAAGAGTTTTATTATTATAGTCATACAAACTAATTTTTATTTTCGTATTATAGTCATACAAACTAATGTTTAATTAGATGGGAAAAGTTTATATAAGGTTGCAACCTTAAAATGTAGAATTACAGATGCACCTCAAAAATCCATTGGAAAGACTCTTTAATTGATCATCTCGACATTGAGATGTATGAATATGAAAAAGATAAAGATTTTGAGTCCCAGAAATAATGTAACATGCAACACATTATCTAGGTCGTCCACTTTCAATATTTTTGTTTTTTTATAGATCTATTTGATTTTAACCATTTTTGGAGTTCAAAATTTTATAATAAGATATAAAAATAGATTTTCAGATAATCCTAAGGATTTTTTACATGAAAGTTACATGTTCTCGTAAAATTTGAAGGTATGCCTTAATTGGATTGTTTAAGGTCGTAACCTTATAGAAAGCACACCCTAATTAGAATGGTATAAAATGCAGAAACAGAACCATTAAAAACCATATAATATTTTCCAATTATAGTTCTACCATAGTTTTTGACACACATGAAATACACGAGCTTGGAGCCCAATGGAATTTGCTCTATTATGTCGTGTTTCTGCTTTTTAAGTGAAATGGGCCACAAAGATGTCATTGATCATAGCATTATGAATTATCAATAGAACATAACTTGGTGGTTTCAATTAAGAGTTTCTTGGACACATATCATATATTGTCTCTGAAACGTTTTGCATAATATGTGATATCTTCCAAGAATTTCATTGTAACATTGGATTGCGACCTTCGATTTCCTAACCACTGATACAAGACGAAATCAGAGCCCGCGAAAAGACCCATTGAATTAATTATATAGATAATTTCATAAAATATCATAGAATACTTTCAGATCTTGTCCACAAAGTGGGGATTAGGTAAGCACATACCTTGGGCAAGAAGTGGGCGTTAGTAAGAAGTGAAATAGCAGGAAGAATGGAGTAGCAAATCTCAGGGATGGGACGCAAGGCCCATAAGTTAAGAAAAGCCAAGCATTGCCTTATCTTAAGCATCTTTGTTATGGCGGACAAGAGTGGGCTATGCCTTCCCACAACCACCTCCAAGAGGCCTGCTGCCCACCTTCTTTGCTGAAGTAGGGTCTCAGGACCACTACAGGGTGCACACCCAAGAAAGGCTGGTGGTTTTGGTGTGCAATATACTGACCTCCATCCCGCGGCAAAAAGTTTTAGAGATAGGATCAAGTCTTCTGTACAAGATACATAAACCCATCCTACCTGCAAAAATAATAATCTACAATTGAATTATTGGATAAAACTTGGGCAATCAACCATAAAAATTATGGTAAGAGAAGGAAATTATCTCTATCTATTTGTCCTCTCAACTCATGCCCCATTCTCGGAGGAATTTTGAGTAGATCTAGACACAAAGATATCATACTTGGAAGATTAATAGAGGGAAAATCCAGGTTATTATATCCCAAGATAAAAATTGCTTCGATATTTTTTGAATTCCTTCCGAAAGCTTCCACTTACGCCTCAAAGACAGATGCAAATTGAAGGTATAGACACAGATGCACAAAATGCACACACGCAAGCAGACACACATAGGCGCTAAACACATACACAAATGATTTTTCATGGGAAAGCCTTGAGACGACTTGTGTTTCAATAAATACAGTTTACCTGGTGTCCCCAGTAGGTATTGTTCTCATATTTGCAACCAGCCACAATGTGTGCAACCTCTACCTTCCTCTCAAAGCTAAGAGTGTCCCCAGCCTTGTCCAAATGAATACCTAATATTGACCTTAAGAGCTCCTCACAGTACCCAAATCTATTTATCAATTCCTCCATATTGGCTTCATTTGATCCTGAAAACGGCAGACCATACTTCAAATTGCAGTCAAGATATACATGGGGCTATCTTGATTCCTAACTGAACTACAACTGAAAAATTGCATTGTGCCATGCACTCTCACACTATTACTTGTATTTAGGTTCAATTACAGATGACCCATCAAGTGTAACAAACACTCATAAAACTTTATTTCTCTTTTTTTTTCTTTTTTTTTTTCTGTAATTGAAAATTAAGACTTACATTCCTGATATTTTCATAGTTGTAGATGAATTAAGAATTTAATGGGATAATGCCTCTTCATCATTTATTTATTTTATATCAACATTTGTGTATGGATTAGGTTTCTCTCATTGGGTGCGATCGAAGTGCTTAAAAATTTTATATATGGTCTAAGTTTATCTATTTTATAAACATCAGTGTTAAAATAACTCGGATGGCTAAGAGACAAGTACTACTGGTGGACTTGGAATTAATAGAAAGGTCTTAAAAAATAAAATTGCTAATGAATGATGAAAAAGTATAATATTTATATTTTTTATGATAATTTGTTACTTTGATTGTGATGTGCTTTACTTTTCTTTAGACCTTTGGCTGGTTTCTTCTAAGCTTATGCATTTTATCCATATTCCATCTTCTTTATCCCATCTGCATAACTAATTTATTTTTTTTTCCAGATTCCATCATCTACCTATGTTCTTTTATATTTTTCATACTTTAATGTAGTTTATTTCTTCTTCAGCTTTTTACAGATTTTTATTTTGACCAATGTTTTGTAATTTATTTTGCAATTTTGATCCCTTTTTAGGCATGTTACTCAGATCGGGTAGGGGGAAGACTTGAGCCTCCACCAAGTTTTGGCACATTGGAAAAAATTGCTCAAGTTCCCTCAATGTTCCATTTACAGTGGTTATCATGATCACAATTATGTGATATTTATTGAAAATGCGTGATGATAAGAAATAATTCTCTTGTTGTAAACGTTAATCAATGTTAAATTTTAATTCCTTGTCATGTTGACTATAATGATATTGTTGTCTGCTCCTTTCTATAGCTCTAATTTGAAAATGTTTTGTACTTATCCATGCAGACTTAACTTCTTCGCTAAAAGGGATTAAGGAAAAGTTTGAAGTTTGTTGTTTTCTGGACCCTTAACATGTCAACGGAGTATATTTAGCTAGAATCTTCTTCTATGAGGTTCTATTCAGAATTGTATAAAGTTATAGAGCTGCTGGTTAAATCTCTTAGTAATGTGCTTTGAATCAGGGATCACGTTATTATATAGATGCATCAAGAAAAATTTATTGATAATTGTATGCCATCGAAGAACTCCAAACATTTTCCTTTTGAATCGTCTGGTGGAAAACCGTAGATGGCTTTTCTTCTATGAAAGCATCCTGTTCCTGAATAAGGAGGCCCTTTTATCCCTGAAACACCAGCCATTACAACCTGTGGCAAGAAACAATCCCAAACATCTTAATATGCTTGAGACAATGATAAAGTAGCTTCAAATTGGATTGAAACATTAAATTCTTCACAAGTAACGGAATATTTGTACATGCAGCGCTTTAACCCCCTAGACAAGTAATTCAGTATTGAAATGCCCAAAGGAATCATAACCCAGTGAGCTATTTAAACATATAAGGGTATATATAGAGCCCTCAAAGTATTTGACAGAGAGCAAATACAGGTATATAGATGGCCAACTTTTTCCCAACCTGTTCTGTAACCATGAATATGATGCTAAAGGGTACTCTTGATCTAATATCTCCAATATGCCCCATTCTCAATATGCTTTGATGGATATGCCAAACTCTCCCTTTCATGACCTACCAAAATTTTCATGAATAACACAAAGGAAAGGTTCCTTCTTACACTAGGAATAAACACTTCAAAAACTTCATAGAACTTTGAATGAGAATAGATGTATAACTATTTGGGCAAAGAATCACAATAATCTTAAAAATTTAGGATCCTGCCACCTAGGCAATTAGATTTGGCCTTGAATCTCCTTAGGGTTAAACTTCAAATGAAAGCCTAAAATTGCAACCCCATTTTTTTTCTGATGGTTAGTAATTTCACACCTCAACCTTACTACTTAATTCTTTCCTCTTCTTACTTGTAACCCACAGGCTTTTCAAAGTAATTATTGTACGCATGAAAATACTTTAGTGAAAGTATTTTAACATAAAACAATTTTCCCAAGGAATTCTTTCATGTGAAAATAATTTCACACGTACTAAACGTGCATTAAATTTCACTAGATGGGTATCATTATTCCAATATAGGCTAGTTTTATTATATTTAATCTGCTTCTTAGGTCTCTATACGTCCCATCTCACTCCAATAAATGTGTTAAAATTTACTTGTGAAACTAGTATAGATTTTATTTTGTTATGAAACTAGCATAAATGTTCATGGTCAATCCTAACAATTTAATTCAGACAAAATGAAAAGCTTATTGCCTAGAATTAAACTTCTAGGAAGTCAGTTTTCATCCTCTTTAAACTTTTGTTTTTTTTCTTAATTTCAATGTATTTTTAAACGTACATTGTGGATTTTTTTCATAATTTCAATGATACGGGTACTGCATTGTGCATTTTTATTATTTTATCAAAATACATAAATATCAAGTACACATATCATGTTTGAGTGCTTGTTGACCATTACATTGATTGTATAGATAAAGTGAAGCCTAAAAATGCTATTCAATATGATACAATGGATCACTCTAATTCAAAAAAAAAAATTTTGTATTTTTATAATCTTCAATGTCACTTAGGCATGTAACGATAGGGTGTCTTGCCTACCCATTGAGTTAGGGCGTGGGCATTTTTCTAATGCCTTGACAAGGAAAAACTATGAAAATTACGGGTAGAGTTTTCTACTTGGTCTACAATTTTGTCTGGTTTCTAGGAGATGGAGGAGACATGGAATTTTAAATTTAAGTTTACATGCTAGTGATGGACAAACAAGTGGTTTGTTTAAGTTTCAAATTGACCATTATGTTGTGGAGCTCTAGTCTCAAGTCTCAGCCATGGCTCAACAACAATCTTGAGGTTCACAATTGTAAACAAAATAATACAGGTAAATCCACATAAGAGTTGTTATGAAGTCAGCGTAATACCATGCTTATACTTTTGACTATTGTTCAGTTCTTCATAGGTTGTCAGAGGTTTAAAGCTATAAATATAGGAAATAAAACATATCATTGATAATGTGCATTAAATTGGGACCCAAGGTCTAGAAAAGTAGAGAGATTTTCGGTGGCGTATATGTCCATGGCCTACAAAAGTTCAAAAAATTTATCTCTCATTTGAGGTGTTGAACGAGAACAGTTGGCCACTAATGAACTATCAAGTAGGGGAAATCATATATACTCCATTCTATCTAGTGGGTATGGAATCATCCACATAGAAATGTGGGCCTCCAGTAAATAAAAAAATTTGAAAAATAAAAATTAAAAATTTATAATAAATAAACACTATACGAAAAATGTGGAGCATCCAGTAAAATAAAAATTTTGAAAAATAATTTTTTTATAGAAAATAAAAAAATTATATGGAAGTGGTTGGTTCTTATGGAATCAGCCAGTTCCTGATGTTAAGAGGGAACAAGATTGATTCCTTTGAAAATCGATACGAATTGAGCGATTCTGATCCAAATTGATGTTTTATAATACATTGTATTTAATAATAATGTCGGAGAAGTGATGTGTTGAACTCACACTGAAGAGGACTTTCAGTTGGTTTCCAAACGGGTCATCCTTGAGGCCTCCATAGAACACTTGGGGAAATTGAACAAAGGCGGACTCTCTCTCACTTTTGAACCCCAATAGAAGGCACATTGCTTCATAAAAACAAGTGGGGTTGTTCACAAACATGTCGCAGTCCACGTTCATGATGATAGGGGCATTTGTCATCACTGCCGACACTCGTGTCTGTACAATGAACAAAAATTACACATCATTTCTTTCTTTTGATGGTTTTTAATAACTCTACTTACTTATTGATTTTGTTTTAATATCGAGAACTTAAAAGGAATGAATTGTCTGCCTAAGCTTAAGGACCAATCATAATTGCACATGGTTTCTTTTCTCTTTCTTATTCTCATTAACAGTGCAAGTTTTGGCATTTTAATAAGGGATCAATCGCTGCAGTCTTAACAATACGGCTAGGCCACGGAATATAGACTGAGGACTGTGGCGAGTAGGGCCTTTGCTAAGGCTGAGACAGACAAGGGCCATGGCTTCTTCGGCTAGGTCTAGGCCCGTCCTATGGGGACCAAGGCCAGGCTTGGGGGAGGGATGTCATAGCCATGCCCATCCTCTTAATGCAAGCCAAAGTTGTATAATACTGGGCAGCGTATGAGCAGTGCTCTAATGAGTACTGTTATATACTAAAAAGGGGTAGTATTTCCATCTCTCTTTCATGACCGAGGTCATCTCTCTTTCTACCTGTAGGCAGCAAGTCTCATGATGGAATTCACTGTAGGATGTTGGTGATATAATTCAATATACGGTATCATACCTGCACTGACCCTGCTACGTTGAAACAAAATTGTTATTTACGTGCGGATTTTAAATAAATTAGAAAAATACGAATTGTTTTTTGGACATCTGAAAATTACATTCAACGTCGGTCAATGTGCTTTTTTTTTTCTTTAAAAAATTAGCCCCTCAGTCCTAGGATAACCGTTGTTTTTTTCTTTCAAAATTTATAAGTTAGCAGTCTGAGGATGGCATTCTTAAACCGCTTTTTTTTTTCAAAACTTAAGTTGAGGTCCAAGGATTTAAAACTCAGATCGAAACTTAAGTTTTTTTTTAAAAAAAAAGAGCAGTTCGAGAATGCCATCCTAACATCGCAATGTTAAGGTTTGAAAAAAAAAAAAAAAAGGCACACCGCATTTTTTTTTCCTCAAAACTTCTATCCCTGAATGGTTTTTTTTACAAAAAAAACTTAAAAGTGGTCTGGAGATGCCATCCTCGGATCCCAACTTAAGTTTGGACCTAAAAAAAAGTGCCATCCTCGAATCGAGAGGTAAATATTTTAATCATTCTTTATATGTTTTAAATATTTTAGTAGATTTTTTTTTGTATTTTTTTATATTTTTTTTATTTTTTTGACCGCCTGAGACTTACTCGGTTAGAGCGGTTGAATAGGCCGGTTTACTGGTTAGGCCGGTTAAACCGCTTCCGGGCCCATGTCCAGTTAACCGTTACGGTTTGATTTTGCGAACATTGGATCCTCCCCATGAGGCACCCTTGACTTGGGAATTCATGGAACAATATATTCTTTTTCAAATTTTATTATTTGTTATTTCCTAATTTTTTTAAAAAATCTAGGTGAAAGGCTTTTAGTACTCAACGGCTGCAAATTAGTAACCAATCCAAATCACTGGAAAGAAAAGAACGTAAACCCTCTAAAATGGTTATCCCAAATAACTACCCGGTCTATAAAAAGCCCATACAAATTAAAAGAAAATGACGTTCAACCCGTTCTTTTTTCATTGTCCAAATTACAAAATTTGTCACTTTTATTATTTTTTCGAATGTCTCATACATCAAAACCCAAAAACACAACCCCTTTCTCTGTCTCTCTGTCTCACCCTTGAACCTCTTCCACCCTCTTTCTAGCTCTTGCAACCTTTTTTGCATCCTCATAGCACTCTCTCATCTCATGAACCTCACGAGTAGGTTAAAAGAAGCATTTCAAATTTCATTTATATAATATGTTTTTTAGAAAAAGAAAAAAAAAGGGTAAACATTGTTAATTTGATCAATGAAAAGGTAAAGAAAACTTTATCTAGCTGAAAAAAGTCAGTTACCTTATGTATAAGGTGGTCATTAATTTTAATTATTGGATGTGAAATTTGGTAGCAGCATTTATTTAATTGATCAAACTCAAAATTCAAAAAAAAAAAATTCAAACTTTGTGACACTTCCAAACCATCAAATTTTACATCAGATGATTATAAGTAATTGTGACCTCTCTATTTCAAAGATAAATGGTCGAAATAGAGATAAATGGCCTCATTGTATGGATACATTTTTTTTTTACTTAAAAAAATTTTATGTATTTTTTTAAGAACGGTAGCATATTTAGATTTTAGAGAGTACGAATACGTCTTCTTTCCAACGAATTAAAGAATTAAATATTATGGGAAAGGCCAAAATGCAATAGAATATTAACAGGTCATTTGGAAAAAGCAATGAAACAGTAACCGTAAAAGTTTAAAATAATACAAAAAGGACAAAAATGTTCGAACAAAAAGGGATAGGCATGAGCCATAAAAATAAATAAATAAATAATAAAAATATAAAAATATAAATAAAAAACGTCCTCTGACAAGGGGACGAAGTACGGTTTGTTGTATGTTACCAAAACATTCATGGCGCCTGCCTTGTAGTGATGTGGATGCTTTGGACGCTTCTCCCTTGACACATAAATTACATGTGCTAATCCACCACTGCTTCTTTCCCTATTCTCTACAATCACCTACAAAATTTTCCCATAAAAATATTAACAATGATAAAGTTTGTCAGGAGGACAAAGAATAGAACGAGAGGAAGTCAATTACTCATTTTCCGACCCACTAGAATGGCTCACATCTCACCGTACGATGTTGAGTATGGTTGATAGAGATTATATGTATCATAGGATTGGTGTAATACACGTATTCATAGCTTCCTAGGCTTATTCGGTTCGGGCATCTTAAGAAACAAAAAGGGTGATTTATGTACGGATCCGAAGACTTCACCTAAAACATACAATTATCCGATTATAAGCGAAAATTACAAATAAAGTCGCTCAACCTTTGTTTTTTAAAAAATTTCAAAATTATCTCCGATCTATACCATATTCGGACCACGTTTTAATTTTTAATATTTTTTAGTTTTTTCATTAGTAGGGCAATGCCCCAAGCTTTAGGGTCAGGATTCAGGCAGTCCGAGGCTAGAATCCTCGGACTGCCCTATAGACTGAGCATGCATCAATTCCTAAACATTCGAGGTCCCCATCCTCGGACCGCTCCTTCTTTCTTTGTTTCGTATTTTGTGAGAAAAACCAAAGTCCCCATCCTTAGACTTCGCTTTATTTTTTACTTTTTTATAATAACAGTGATCCAACGATGGGGACCTCAGAGTGCTCTGGCTCAGTTCCGGTGCAGTGTGAGATCCCCATCCTCAGACCATGCTTTATTTCTTATTTTTTGAGAAAAATAACAGTCCAAATATGTGAACCTCCTACCGCTATAATGGGGTTTTGCTGTGTTTATAGGGCGGTCCAAGGATTCTAACATCGGATCGCCTAGGCACTACCCTAATAATGAAAAACTAAAAACAAAATTTAAAATGTGGTCTAAGGATGAAATCCTCCTATCGAGGGGCGATTTCAGAAAATATAAAAAAAATTGCTGTTTTACCGACCTTCCTCGTAATTTCTACCAATAATCAAATCATTTCGTATTTTAGGTAACTATTTCGGTTCTATACGTAATTTACTCAAACAAATACAAAACAAAAAATTTGCAAGATATGTGAAACCTAAAAGTGTTTAAATGAAGATTCTGAACCCTAAACTAGTTTCAGTCCGGTGGTTTTATAATAAAAACTGTTTAAATATAATTTTTAGGGGTATTTGGCCGATTCTGAAGTTGAGGATAAAATCGGACAGGCTATCCGTTAGTCCAATTGGGCTCGGAATGCTGATTTTTGAAACATGAAAGATTAATTTTTGTGATTCGGAGAGAAAAGTAAATAGATGAGAAAATACACTCTTAGGCAGATTGTATATGCTTCTATTTTGTAGATTCATGGTGGAGACAGGGGTTCGATTGTTCATCACAATTTGCTAATAAGAACCAACATGGATGCTCACCATACACAAAATGTTTACGAAAACCATCGCCAAATCTGTACCTTTATGATGCTCGGATGGTCTCCGCCTTCAATCCGAGAGAAAGCAGCAAATTCCTCATTCATATTTGGATATGGCACCGACTTGCTGGTAACTGCCTCGTTGATTCTTCTGCTAAGTTCATCGTATTCACTCTTCACATAAACATAACATACAAATTATGTGAAGAACAAACCAGTTATTGAAATGAATGGTGAAGCTTTGTTCAGTTTAGAAGATGCACCTTCATTTTCTTCCATTCTGTTAGAAATTCTGAGGTGAAACTGTCGCAGTTATGAGATGTCTCTGAGAAATATATGAAGGGGGCTCTGACACCCACACCATGCTTCTTGCAAAACGGTACCCATAGTCTCACGTACTCCGCGGCCTCTGTAAGAGCATAAAAAGTGAGGGGCGAAGCTCCTTCGTCGGAGACATAGCACGCAAGCTTGTTCAAAGGGTAGTCCACCGCAAGGAGAGATAGGACTGTGTTTACTGTGAGGATTGGAGGCTCCTTCAGAGCGTCGGCCGTCGTCACGAACATGTCCACTGCTGGTAGTTCTGATTCTGACTTCAACCTTAATCACCAGAAATCAATATCATTCACTAAATCAAGTACTTGATTGCTACATAGTTTCAAACTGTGCTTTTCTCGATCAGTAGATAAATCACTCTTACCTTTTCAAGAGCCTGTTGGGGTACGTTCGATACTCGACCATCCTCCACCTTATGTTCATTGATAAAATCCACAGACAAGCAAAGCAAGTCTCACAGGCAAGTGCGAGGGTCCAAATGACATGGTTTAGTCCTTTGTGGACAGATAAGGTAGAGAAACGGTAGAAGATGAAGGAGAGAAGAAGAACGAAGAGGAAGAGTGAGAATGCGTTGAGGTATGTAGTGTTGACCTTAATTCTCTCTTGTACTGCGCCATCTTCTTCCTCGGCTCTGTGAATGTTCCCAGAACTTTGATATGAAAAGTTGGGTGCCATTTTGGAGCACAGATACTGTAGCTAGATGCTACAGCGAGAGAGAGATGGCTCTGGCTTGAGCTCAGGAGTGGAAATGTATGTGGAGAGAAGGCCTCAGTTTCATTTATAAGGCTGCTCTCTCTCTCTCTCTCTCTCTCTCTCTCTCTTATTTTCACTTGTCTCGTGTATAGAACGCGGCCACGTTAAAGCATGGAGACTTAGAGAGGTCTTACTGGTTTTGACTGACATGAATAATGAAGGGCCAATAATGAATGGGAGATTCAGGGTGAACAGATGAATAAGGTTGGATATTCCATTAATATAAGTTGAGCGCATAATTCATCCTTCCACGGGAGCACACTGTATACTTGATCAACTAATGAAGTTTTTTTTAAGTGGCCATTAAAAGCCTTAGTAATTGTATCAAATGGAACATAAAGTCATTGGGAGTGTGGTCCCTCGTGGACCATACTATTCAAACATATCGATATGTGTTTGGCAGTTTGAGCCAGTCGGTTGGAAAAAAACCCATTTATCTAGGCATAGAGTATAAATTGATAAAGGTTCTAATGGGTCATCCCTTGATGAGGTTAGAGTATGCCCGGATGAGTGAGCCGAGGAACTGTGTGACCTTTATGTGTGATGGTGGCCTGTAGAGACGGAGGCTAAAGCCACATCCTTGTACTATCACACGACCGTTTTGGGAAAGCAAGTCACCTTTCAGGGTGAAGCGTATGCATGTGCGAGATATACCTCTATGCACCATGGGAGCTGTGGTCGCATCAGGTCTAGGTGACCTTGACTCGTCTCTAGGGGAGAACTTGAAATCCACAGATTAGGATTGCAACTCCTTGGCTCATCGGCCGGACTTTGGTGACCCACTAATGAACCCTTGCTTGGATTATGGGTCATGGGAAACATTGGGTTGGTCTGATAAAACAACTGTGGTCTGCAATCCACAGTTGAAGGTGGAGTGCCCCGTGATTGTTGATTCAATTCCTAAACCATATAGATCATTTTTCTCATCAAACTAATTTAATTATTTGTGTTTTTTTTATGATGAAAATTATTTTAAAATTATTATTTGAATTTTTATAAACCCCTGTATATTTTATTTATAATTTTTAGATTTATAAAATTAAAGATATTAATTTTATAATAGTTTAAATATTCAAATAATATTCTAAAAATTCTTTTATTAATTTTAAATATATATCATGGGGGCCCATTGTGCACATGGGCCCACCATATTTCTAGAAGGTGGTGGCTCATGAGTGCCTTCTTTGGGTGGCACGTCCTTCACTTACTATCTTTTTAAGATTTTGATGTGTGGCATATGGTTGGCTAAATATTGACTTAATATATCTTTGAAAGATTTTGTGAAAGTATGAAAAAGCTTGTGCAATTTATGGGATGTACAATCTTTTGATTAGATATTTTCTATCGATGGAAAAATGGTTTAGGAAAGGGAGATAAGGATTTATGCACTTTCTATAATGTTGATGGCCCATCTATAGAATAGATGGCTCGGATCTTTCACCCCACAAGTCGCCCTGATCAACGGTTTACATTCAATCTCACTAGAAGAGGCAAACTATGGGAAATCCTAAGAAACCCTAAACCTAATTTTTTACTATAAATAAGGGTGTACCCCCGTTATTCTCTACACCTTCTCTCTTGTCTCTCACATCTCTCTCTTCCCTCTCTAAGGGGCACTCCCCACTCTCTCTCCTCTCCTTTCTAGACCTCTCTCTCCTAACCTATCTCTAGAGGGGCACGCCCCAACCCTAGGCCACCTCCTAAGTCTCTCTCTAATCTTGATTAAAACTTAAGGGTTGGGAAGTAGGGGATATGTTAAATTAAGTCTTGGGGGTTAGGACCTAAGTTCAAAACTTGGGAATTCTAAAAAGTTCCATAGAATAATTTGGCCTAAACTTGCTTTCCTGTTTGAGATTGAAGCTAGATCGTTGATCCCTTGCCATCAGATAGTGGTGACTCGGTGTGAGGTGTAATAAGCCCGGTTGAAGTAATCTCTAGCACTCTCTACTTTTATTTATTACAATTTCATCTTTATATTCTCAAGCATAATAAATAGTTATTCTAATGGCTTCAAGTTTCAAGATCTTGGTTTTATTATTTTGTTGCTTTTAGTTTGAAGTATATGTTATTGTAATAAGACTATTTGTAAGTGATCTTTTGTCAAAATAAAAGGGGTGAGGAAAAAAAAATGTATTATTCCTCGGTAAAATATCACATTGGTCCTTTCTTTTAGCAACCTTATAGAAACCACAACCCTCTCTAAATACAATAGCATATTTCTTTAACTAAGATTGTTTTTCTTGGCTCCTCCCTCTCCTAAAGTTTCTCTCTTTAATTTGTCTACTAGGAGTTATACATTCTAAACTGCTTTGGTGTTCTTGTCTAAAAGTTTTTCTCTCTCTTTCTAAATCCAACAAACCAAATTATCTCCTCTAAAGAACTTTTCTCTTTCTAAATAGAAGAAGTTACCATGTTTAAATTAGGAACCACTCTGATAATATTGAGACGCCTCTTTTACCTAAAAGCTCTCTATAAAATATAGGTCCACTCTTGTACTCTTTCTTAATCTTTCTTGTACTCCTCTATATCCATATTCAATGTGGAACATCTTAAATAGAAAACCGAAGTCCATGCAACGAGGGGTTTTCAATTGGGTCAATCACCTACCTCTTAGATGTCGATAATCCAAAAAAATTGAGAGATTGGGGAAGATGTCGTAAATAAAATTAGAATTGAGTGAACAAAATAGAGATGTACAACAAGAATTTTATGTAATCGCCACATACCGATGAAGTTAAATAGCAAGTTCTATAGGACAACTGTGAGACCAGCTTTGCTCTATGAGGTACACTGTTGAGCAGTCAAGAAACAACTTACCCATAGAATGAGTGTAGCAGAGATGAAGATGTTGAGATGGATGAGTGGCAATACAAGAATGGATGGGATTCGAAATTAATACATTAGAAAAAATTTGAGTATGACACCAACAAACGATAAAATGAGAGAGAGTAGACTTCGGTTGGCTAGCCATGTGTGGCATAAACCCAATACAATACATGTTAGGAGGTGCGAGTTAGTTCAAGTGGAAGGCACAAAAAGAAAAATGAATAGGCCCAAAAGAACATGGTTGAAAGTAGTGGGAAATGATATGAGAACTTATGGTCTCACTGAAGGTATGGCTCTCAATAGAGCAGAATGGTAAACCAAGATTCGTGTAGCCAAACCAATTAGTTAGGAAAGGGCTTTGATGATGATGAAGAAACTCACCTCTCAGATGGATCAACCTGATGCGGACTAGATCTAGACTCAAATATTAGACTGGATTGGGTCGACCTTTGGCCCGAATCCATACACAAATATCCGACTCAATGGATTAGGTTTGGGTCAAGGTTGATTGGACCTGACCTAATATTTATGTGTAATATATACAGTGGACACCCCCATAAAGATTCAGACTAAATGAATTCCTTGAAACCTCACTTCTAAGCTCTAAGGACCACACTAAGTCTAGTGAATCTTAGCGAGCTTAGGCACCTTAGTGCAGACACTCCCCTCGAATTTCTGGCAAAGGAAAATCCTAAAAACTTTGATTATGAGTATCGATGACCACGCAAACCCTAATAAGCTATAGTTAGCTTAAACCTTGATTACTTGAGCAAAAGCCTTCCAAACTCTATCTCAGGCCGTAGTAGACCTCGAAAGCTTTCCAACAGTTCAATAATCACTCAAATCAGACCTTTGTTTATAATTTGTTTAAGATTAAAACCCTTTACAATTTCTTCAAAAAAAAGAAAAAAAAAAAAGTTTAGCTCTTTTACGGCCAATGGCCAACATGTCAATCTCAGATGCAAATCATTTTGGAGATTTTACCACCTTCTTTTGACCCTCATCCACTCAGGCAGCAGCGGCCTTCACCCCCTTCACCATAAAATCCACTAAATCCTCTAAAAGGTTGAGTTTATTTCCGTTGAGCGATATCATCCTGCTTTTTGTATTGTAATCCATCTTAAATCACACACACTAGCTATCCCCCATGCATTTCGGTTAGCTATTGCCCAATTGTTTCGGTTAACTATCGTACAATCGTGAACTGCCGCCCGATCTTGAGTTGCCGCCCGATCGTGAACTGCCGCCCAATCGTGAATTGTCACCTGATCGTGAACTATCGCCTGATTGTGAACTACCCCCCAATCGCCAACTGTCACCCTATCATTCTGACATCCGATCATTACTGTCGCCTAATCGTTAACTGCTGCCATCGTCAGTTAAGCCTTCGAAAAAAAAATTTCACAAAATTTCGGCAAAGCTTCCTCGTGAGGGTTTGAATCCCAAAAAAATCCCTAAGCCTAATTAATCGAAAAGTTAAGTCGGGGCATAGCCCAAAGCTGTGACTAGGATTAAAGGAGTGGGATTTGTTTTCTTCCTTACTTGTCTTATGACCGCTAGGCTCGCTATATTAAAAAAAGGTGATAGGGGGAACCAAGCGACGAGGGAAACACACTCCGATACCACTTGTTAGGCTTACCTAGTTAGCGCCATCTCGTACGAATGCAGATGTGCGCAGTAAAACCCGAAAATATGAGACACAAGATTATAGTAAAAACGATGTGTGTGTATGAGTGGGAAAACATGCAATAAAGTAAATAAAAAATAAATCTTACTGGCAATGGATTTACGTGGTTCACCCTTTCAGGTTAAGTCTATGGGAGAAAGAGATGAATCCACTATTAACTTTGCAAGTTACAATAGTCTTCCAAGAAACAACTTTTCCTAGGATGACTGATTTCATCTAGAGACTTCTCTCTAAGATTTCTCTCTCTGATCTCAAAGACTTCTTTTCTTTCTAGAGAGGTTTTCTCTCTCTAAAAGAAAATGTTATATATTTCTCTCCTTTTTCTTCCCTTCTCCCTCTTTTCTATCAACAAAGAAAATACTCAAGAAGAGGATCACTTATTCTCTTTCGTCTTCTTCTTATCTCTAAGAAGAACGATTACTTTCTCTCTATTATTTTTCTCGCTTAAGATAAGGATAACTCTCGCTCTTCTTCTCTTTAAGAGAAGGATAATTTTCTCTCTTCTTCTTCTTTTCTTAAACTAAAATCGCATTCCAAATATCTAGAATATGCATTTTCAACACCAAAACGTCAACTACATGTTACATGGGCTTTACAATAAACGGTATGGTCTGTATAGAACCTAGGCTCTAAACAATCGAATTAGAGCCTGCCTTCAAATAGTCTTAAGAAACGTAGTTTCAATACTAGAAATCTTTTTGATAGCTTTAAAATATATTTTCATCATTATTTATAAAGTTTAAAGCTTAAAAATAGTGTAGATTCAGAGATCTATGAAAATTTGGAAATTTTGAAAATTGACGGTCCAAAAATGCGTTACAAAATACACTATTTCTAAAACTTGAAATCCATATTTTTTCTCATATCCATGCATCTTAATGTCGAGATAATCAATTTGAGGATATTTAAGCATCAAAACAACATCTTCTAATGAAATTTTTAGGTAGGCTCTAATTTGATTGTTTAGTGCCTCGGCTCTATATAAAGTTTTCCCAACAATAAAAAGTAAAACCTCATTCCAAATATCTAGAATATGCATTTTCAAAACCAAAAAACCCTCAAGATGATAATATCGACTTCAACAAATCTAGAAATAAAATGGGTTTCAAGCTCTTAAAAATAGTGTATCTTGCAACATATTATTAGACAAATATTTAAATATCCGTTAACCTAAGCGTATTTTTAGAAATTCAGATTTCATTATCATGGAAAATAGGTTCTCATGTTAAAGACTTCAAGAGCCCCTGCAACATTTTATGAGTTGAGATTTGTGACTTTTGTACGCATGTAAAATTGATAATTCATATTTTTAATAAAATTAATCAATGTATTTGTTGTTTGGAAGTGGCTAATATAAAGTTACCGGATATAAGTTATAGGTAGTTTTATATAAGTTTATCTATCCGAAACTTGTTTTTATTCTATTTGAAATAATTTGCCAAAATGAGGTATTTTCGGCCATAATGCCTAAAAATAGTTAAAATTTGCCAAATCAAGTTAAAAATTAAATAATATTTTTGAACCGTTCTTTTTTAATATTTTCATGTGTTTATAGATTTACTTGATTTTAACCATTTTTAGAATTTGAAGTTTTATAAAATAGATTCTCAAACCATCCTACAAGTTTTTTATACCAAAATTCTATTTATGATGAAAATTAAAGGTACACCTTAATTGGATATTTTAAGGTTGCAACCTTATTGAAACCACACTCTAAAAATAAAAAACCCTTGTTTTTATTGAGGGTGTGGTTTGTATAGAGCCGAGGCTCTAAAAAAACAATATAAAGCATATCTTCAAATAGTATTAAGAAATGTGGTTTCAAAATTCTATTTATGATGAAATTTAAAGGTGCACCTTAATTGGATATTTTAAGGTTGCAACCTTATTGAAACCACACCCAAAAATTAAAAAGCCCTTGCTTTTATTGAGGGTGTGGTTTGTATAGAGCCGAGGCTCTAAAAGATCACTATAAAGCATACCTTCAAATAGTATTGAGAAATGTGGTTTTAATAATAGAAAGTTTTGTAATAGCCTTAAAATATATTTTTATCTCTAATTATAAAATTTAAAGCTTAAAACAAAGTGTAGATCGAGCAGATCTATGAAAATCTTGAAAATTGACGGTCCAAAAATACATTACAAGATTCACTATTTCCAAAACTTGAAATCTATGTTTTTTCTCATATCCATATATCTTGATATCGAGATGATCAATTTGAGGACATCTGAGCATCGAAACATCCTACTTCTAATGAATTTTTTGAGGTAGGCTCTAATTTGATTGTATAGAGCCTCGGCTCTCAATAAACTTTTTCCTTTTATTGAAGACCCTGCACCTTGCGCAATTCGCACCCATGAGATCTTACTAAAAAAGCGTTACCCCTCTCACACAAATCGTGTGTGTGATTCCTCAACTAATTCGACATAACTCCATCTCTTAAACAAGAGGCATTCTTTCTTATGGTCGTATGGATTGTAATAATGGAATTAGGGAAAATTAGAAAAAACACCAACATCACATTTTCTTTGCAATTTACTCCCAATCTAATTATTTTTCTCACTTTTTTTCTAAAAAACAAACTTTCTATGTAAATACTTCCAAAGAAAAAAGGTCACTTTTTTAGACGAAAATATTCTTTCCATATATAAATATCATTTTGGACATATTTGACCGTTGACTTTTGGACTCTAGTAGCACATTACCGGAGCTCACGATCATATTGCCGAAGCGCACAAGTGCCGAAACCCGCAGCTGCCACACCATCATATCAGTCTTTGCAACTGTCGAACTGTCGTTTTCAATGGCCGGATCGCATTTTACACCGTGCCGGGGTGCTACTACGGAGCCCTACTGCCAGACCGTACTTTACATAGTGTCGGAGTGTTACTGTCGTACCTAAATTTATATAGTGTCGAACGCTTCAGCCGGACCGCATTTATATAGTGTCGGAGTCATCTATTTTGGTGGGATAGAGGAGGAACTATTTTGGTGGGATAGAGGAGGGAGGCATGGATAAAGTAAAAGTAAAAAATGGTGGTTTAGGTATTTTTTTTATTTTTTATTTATTTAGGGGGTTTTTACATTGAAAGAATAGAAAAAAAAAAAAAATGGGAGAAAATGTTGCGTTGGGGGTACGTTACATGGAAGTGTAATTTGTTTTTTTTTTTTGGGGTAATTTTCCCATGGAATTATGCATCACCTTGTGGGATTAAGAAAGCCCCATTTGGAGTGAATCCGTTTCTCTCTATCTCTCTCCTTTGCAGCTAAAGGTCTAAAGCTGCTCTCTCTCTCAACCCATACCTACTGATCAATGGACGCTTCTGCAATCCAGACCAGTGAATTTCTTATAAATGAATATGAGGAAGAAGAAGAAGATTGGTTAATGGTGAAACCAGCGAGGGTAAATGCAAAGCAACTCCCAGACCACATCTGGGAGAACATCCTTTCAGGGCTCCCCATTTCTTCCCTTTTAAAAATGAAATCAGTCTGCAAAAGCTGGAGAACCATCATCAATTCCAACACCTTCTTGACAGTATACAAAAAGCTACCACCCCAAGATCTCTACTTCTTCCTCTTTGCTGATTATATACACAAATCCATTGCAGCTGCTTATAACCCAACTGATAACAAATGGGTTTTGATCCCTCTCTCTCACATCTCATCCTCTTGCCCAAGCACTTGTTGTAAACTAAGGCGCCCCATTGTCTCTCATGGTGGTCTAATTCTTGCTGAGGACCGAAAGGGGTCACTGGTTTTGTTCAATCCCTTCACAAAAACTTGTAGAACTCTGCCCCCCATGATGCCCATGAAGTGGCCCTATGTGGTTGCCATGATGGGTTCTTATGATTCTAGTTTTAAGATCTTAGCCATCAGCACCACTGATAAAATCTCATCTCAGGTCTATGATTATGGCCGTAATTTGTGGGAAATGAGTGGGGAGTTCGATGGGAGGTTTGCCATGATTGGAAGTGCAGCTTGTTTAAATGGGTTCTTGTTTTGCTTGAGTCATGGCCCTGATTATCTTTTGGCTTATGATATTAGGATGGGTACATGGGATTTGGTCAATGGCAATGCTTCCATACCCCATGTCTCATGTTCTTATATATCAGAGTATCAAGGTTCATTGATATTGGTTGGTGGGGTTGAGGAGCATGGGGCTATGAAGAGTATTGATATATTTGAATTCGATATGAGAGAAAGGATATGGCGCTTGATATGTAGGATGCCCCATCACTTATTCATTGGGTTTGGTCTTGGGAAGCTAAGCCACTTTGTGACAGTGGCTCATTCTGGTAGGATATGTTTCTACAAGAATTCTACTTCTTCAATCATGATGTATGATATGCCTGCAAATAGATGGTCATTGCTGCCCCCATGTCCTCTTGATAGCTGCCTTAATAGGCCATTGTGGTTTGGCCTTGCTGTGGAGCCAAGGATGGATGTATTTGTATGATTTCGTGAAAAGAAAAGGGACCTGACTTCCACAGTTTTCAATGATTCCCTTGCCTCATGTTCTTCTATGATTTGAAATCTTCCTATTTTCTGAACTAGATGGATTGGATGTAAATATCCAATATGGAATATTATTACTATTTTTATGGAGATTGTGGCCTTTCATTCTATTCATTATCTTGTTCTATTAATTTCGCAGTCTGTATCTATAATGTCAATGAAAATGTATTTATTAAGCAAATGGACTCCTAAACTGCTACAGGGGATTAATGTCGTCATCCTTAACTTTCTTTCACTTTGTCCTCTTAGCCTTGTGAGATGATTTTGTATTCTTTGTGTGTGTGGTAGATCCATGAGATGCGTGCATTCATTATTGTGAACTTTGTTAGACAAGCTATTGATGCATGGACGGACAAAAAAAAAGCCTTGGACACCAGTATTTTGTCAATTCGTCATTGTAGAGAATTTATTTTGATTTCATTTTATGAATAAATTATTGTACTGAATGTAGCTATCATTTCATCAATGCATTATTGTACCCAGCTTCACTTTTATTTCATCAATTCACTGTTGTACTTAGTTTTGCTTTATTTCCATCTTATAGGTTTGAAGCATGTGCTGTGTTTTCACTGTTAACTGATTACAAATGCATGGGCTTTGCATTGTAAAATATTTAACTGGTTTTTGTTCCATGATTTATGATCTATCTAAAGTTCATTGACTAAAATTCTATCTAAAGTTCATTGACTAAAATTCTTTTTCATTACTTCAAATTTAATTATTGTATTCTACACCAATGATATTAGATTTTTGATGTATAGATACTGAAAAATGAATGGGTCTTTGCGTTTTAATGAAATATCTGTTTCTTCTTTCATGATTTACGATCTATCTGAAGTCCTTTGCCTAAAATCTTTTTCATTACTTCAAATTCAATTATTGGACCCTACACCAATCATATTAGGTGTTTGATGTATAGATAGTAATGTGCTATGATGTGCTGGTGTTGCCTCTTAGATTGATAGCAGTGATACTAAAGAAAGATTCATAGCAGGTTTTCGTTTTGATGGAAAACATGTTGTCTATAATGGGAATCAAACCAACACTGTAGGGAAATATGGGTAGGTCAACAGAGGATAATAAAAATATTCATTAAATAAAAAAATGGAATCATTAGAAAACATCAAATAATTCAGCAAGGATTTATCATTCGCAAAAAAAACCGGCAAGGATTTCTACTAACTTAGGGCTTGTTTGAAAGGTGGAAGGCCCCTTTCCCACAAAAATCTGGGAAAGCCGCACTCCCCTATTTTGGCTTCCACCAATCTAGCCCGCCCTTAAAGAATTTAGAACTAAGACTTAGGGTTGTAATGCAAATTTCAGTAGCAAGGAGTGTGAAACACATTATTAGTTTATAAAATTGAGTTCAAACCCTCCACAATGGCATGTGAAACACATCTCTAATTTCTTAGAGGCTAAAGCTCATTATTCTCATAAATAAAAGAGAAATTTATCAAAGTACACCTCACTTTTTTACTATTTGACATTTTATCTTATTTCTTCTATTCCATGTCTAAATCATGTGTATTTTGATGGGCATTTTGATCAAAAAGGCAAAACGTTAAATAGTTAATATCTTATGTGTATTTTGACAAATTTCCCCAAATAAAAAGAGGCTAACCGCAAAGGTTCTCTGTACTTGAATTTCCTTCAAATCCAAATAAGTAATTAACCTATTATATAATCCAAACCTAACTCTTGAAACTTTTTGGTTAGTCCTTCAGTTTTGTTATTAGAAGTCATTGTCCTTGAACCATATTTTTATGTTCTTACCATGATTCTTGAACTTTGTTTATAATTCTTCTTATAATTCTTTTCATCCCATTATCCATAAATAGCTTGTCTTATTGACATAACATTTTTTCTTGTAAGTGAACATTTATTGATGAATTGGTTTAGACATGAGGTTCAGACTCTACTGAAAAGGGGATTGGGAATGGGATTTTGTGGTCAAAGTTTTTAAAGGACACCGTATGGAGTTAGGTATTAAGATGAAAAAGAAGAGAATCATACAATGTCTCCTCATTATCTCAGACTGCCCTTTCTGTGTTAGTCCTTCGTTTTTGTTATGAGAAGTCAATCCTTGAACCATATTTTTATATTCGTACCATAATTCTTGAACTTTGTTTATAATTCTTTTCTTCCCATTTATCCATAGATAGCTTGTCTTATTGACATATCATTTTTTCATGTAAGTGAACATTTATTGATGAATTGGTTTAAAGATGAGGTTCAGACTCTGCAGAAAAGTGGATTTCATGAAGGGTGCTCTCAATTAATTTGGGAATGGAATTTTGTGGTCAAAGCTTTTGAAGGACACCTCATGGAGTTGGGTATTAAGATGAAAAGGAAGAGAATCATACATCGTCATTCGTCTCTTCATTTTCTCAGACTGCCCTTTTTGTGTTTTATTTCATTTGGATATTGGTAATGCTTATTTGTTTGGCATTTCATATTTGATTAATTTAACCTTTTTTTGTAACTATTTATCATTGCTTACAACAAGAAATTTATTGATATATCTGGGGAACATTTATGGTGTCATGGTGTTGTATGAACCCATCTAAGGAGTTAGGTATTAAGATGGGAATGGAATTTTGAGGCCAAAGGTTTTAAAGGACACCTCATGGAGTTGGTATTAAGATGAAAAAGAGGAGAATCACTCATCGTTGTTTGTCTCTTCATTATCTCAGACTGCCCTTTCTGTGTTTCATTCATTTGCATATTGGTAATACTTCCTTGTTTGGAATTTCATATTTGTTTAATTTGACCTTTGTTTGAAACTATTTATCATTGGATACAGCGAGAAATTTATTGATATGTGGGGAACATTTACGGTATCATGGTGTTATATGAACCGATCAATGATTGTGGTGCCATGTTCACATTCTCATCCAACCTTCTCATCCATTTCTTCTTCATTGCCATTTCCTATTTACATGCATTTCACTTTCTTAACTTGTCCTTTGGTTGTGCTAAGCATGTCTTCAGGATGGAAGTGGAACCACATGTATCCTGCACAGGTGTAGATGCCTGCGGTTCTCAGCTCCTTAACTTGTCATGATCACATTTTCCACCAACATGGATACGGGTGTCAGGGATCTGATCAAAATCGAAACTTTTGTCCCGTCCTGAAATGTAGGTACAAGGCTAAGTCATTTGTTGACTGGGGTAAGATGGGACCTCAGCATTGCAGTACTACAGTCAACATTAGCTATTAGTATCAAGCTCTTGTTCACCCATAAAAGATGTCAAGCTCTTGCTTATGACATGGCTCCACCATGTTCTTCATCCCTTGGATTGGATTGTGATAATTATGTCCTCTCTTCATAGTGCTAACAGATCTTGTACTACCGTGATGACAATGGCGTTCTATTATTCCTTTGGTTGCTGTTTTTATACCTTCTGACTCAGACTTTAGCAGTTGCCACTGGTTCCTTATTTCCTTAGGTCACCAGTAACTTGCCATTCATCAATCGGTTTTTTAACGATTTCTGGTTTTTGAATAAATATTCTTGGCCTGCAGCCTTGAAAGAATCCATGATGGCAGTCACTCAGCACTGGGATATCCATGATATCTAATACGGCTAAATTCATTCGTTTAGGTCTACTAATGTAGTGTCAAATTTGTATACTATCATAGATTAGGTCATTTCAATTGAATTCAATCTTTTTGAGGTCTCTTATTATTCATGATTAGATTGTAGTATTCAAATGTGTATGCCATCATAGATTAGGTTATTTCTGTTATCAATGATAGGATAAAGTTGAATTATTAAAAAAAGTTAAAAATAAAGTTTTATATTCAAAAGTAAATCCACATTTCTTTAGACCTCAGGGTGTATGTATTGTCTTGAAAATAATGAAGAATCCTATGTCCTTTTTACTCATTATGAGAAATTGTTTCTTAGCCTGTTGATTTAATTTACTTTGTTGTGTAGCGTGCTCTTGTGCCTTTGCTTTGGGTTTCTTGATGCAGACTACTTTCCAAAGGCATAGCAAAGCTCCAATTGAAGATCTCTCCAGATTTACGTGTTACTTTCCTTAATAATGCTAGGCTTCTTTCTTTCCACTATTATGTCCTAGAAACCGTAGAGTGGGAAACCAGAGCACTCTACAGAGATCAATCTTCCAAAAACTGTGGGCTCCAAAGGTGAGAAAGTTGAGTATTTAAAATTTTAGTGAGTTGTTTCTTACCTTGTTTTGCAAGTTAGGTTAGTTTCTTAATTTTGCTTAGGAGTCTAGAATGATGTTTTCCATGTTTTCTTACAGGCCTAGTTTCCTGAAACTATAAATGAACTAGTTACCTTCCGAAAGAATCTAGATTCTAGAATATTAAGGCCCCATTTGAAGAACAATTAAATTTATCTAGAATTTATTATCTTATCCGAAATTAATGAACTCAGGATAATGTTACTTTGTTAGCTGTTTGGTACCTGTTATTCTGTATAATATTATTTAAACAACTTTTCAGTGATTTTCAGTTATTTTTAGCTATCTCTACTCAAGCAACATGTGATTTTCAGCAAATTACTTTGAATAAAGTAAAGAAACTTTTAAAAAAGATAAACTTATATGTAAAACTGCCTATAAGTTTATCTTATATAACTTTAAAAGAGACATAGCCAAACATCAGATAACTCATTATCAGGATTAATTTTATGGAAACAGTGAATTATAAGTGATAACAGTACACCCAAACAGGCCCTAAGAAGTTTAAGAAACTATAGATTGCTCGAGTCCCAAGCTAAGTCACATAAAGACAGATTCCAAGCTCTATAATTTAACCCATTCAGATCTGCAGCCTAAATCACTAGAGTATAAAAATTTGGGTTCAATTGTGTTGAGAAGCCCTATTTAGAGGAGATGTTTCTCAAATCTTTTTGAAGAGAGTTATTCTACAACTCAAGCTAGGTTTGGAGTGGGTTCCCTGAAGATGGAGCACAATTTTTTTCGTTGGTGGAGATATTCCCAAAATCCTAGATTGTGATTTGGAGGTTCGTCTCCCCACTTATGCTTCGCCTCTTTTTACCCCCCTATGCAGTGTATTCCCTTCAACTAAGTGTTTTACAATTTTTCAAATCCATCAAATCAACCCTTCAACCCTAATGACATAGCCCACCTCCTTCACAAACCCATCACCCATTAAGTCCTCAAAACCTAATTTAGCCAATCTCACATTGTTTATTCAAACCTAGCCATCACCCTTTGTGCCACCATTAAATAACTCTAAAG